TCTTCGTCTAGTATTCGCAGTGAGGTCGGGAGATCGCCTTGATTTGACCAGACCAGAGTTGATTAAGACAAAAGCTAAAGCTAAGGTTAAGGCTAACTGCTGAGGTGCAGGCTGTTGTTCGGTTGTATGTTTGGACGTATGCACATATTTTAGTGGATCAAGCTTTAACTGCTAATTAGGGATTTCGCCTTTCGTGTCCAACTGATGAGTTAGATGGCCAGCAGATTGGGCAGCAACAGCAACAGCAACTTGGCCAAGTGAAATTGTGCTAAAAACTTCAATCAAATGACCAGGCAGACACTGGACTCTGAAATAACCAGTTTCCCCCCTCAGGGAGCAGCAGCAACAGCAGCAGCCGCAGCAAGGGCCAAGGGCCAAGGGCTAATGGCGGGTGACGGGGTGCCGGGGCCGGTGAGGTGAAACCGGTGAAGCCCAAAACTGAATTCGCCTTTGCAAACTAGTTTTCTTACTTAGTTCCGCGTCAGGGTGCTGCGCTCCTCTGTCATTGCCATTGCCAAAAAAAAAAAACTCAAGCTGAAACATTTTGGTGCGCCAGGTCACGTTGCATGAACATTGCCAGCGTCATCATCTTCATTGGGGTTGGGGAGGGGGTAACACAGATAGCGACAGAGAGCGAGAGAGAGAGAGAGAGAAAGAAACTTGCGTTAGTTGCTCGAGCTGAGAATGCACTTTTCAATTTAAACGTAGCCCGCTCAATCTTTGGCTCTCTTTTCCTCTGTTTCTACTGCTCTTCCTCGCTCTCCCTCTTCCTCTCCCTCTCCCTGTCTCTTTCTTTTTTTAGTTTGACTTCTGTGCAGAAAACGAGTATCAACAGGATAAGGGGGCACATCATAATAATGAAGAGTGTGTTCCCGACTTTTTTTTTGCTTTTTGTTTTTTTGGCGATCATCACAGTGCCTGCTTTCTATATAGGTCGTTGCAATTTAATACTTGGATTTCATGTTTGCTTCGGTCGCTGTGTTTCCCCCCTGCATTCCCCCATTCCCATACCCATACCCATACCCATACCCATAACCATACACATACACATAACCATACACATTCCCTTATCGTTTGTATTGCATTCAATTTTTTGTTGTTGTTGTGCCCGGTTTCGGTTTCGTTATCGTGCCCAGTTCAGTTTCTGCATCGCTTCTTTTCGGCGCCCCTACCACCTCTCAGCGCATTGTACTGCTTCGCTCCTGCCCCGCCCTCCATCGGGCTTCGGCTTCGCATTCGCCTTCGCCTATGTATGCCTGCATGAATGCAGCTGAGCTTTGAAATCTTTTAGCGAGACATAGTTAATGCAGCCACTGAAGCAGCCGCACCACAACAACAAAATTGAAGTAACCCTGGCAGTTTGTCGAGCCAGTTGAGCAGTTGAGCAGTTGAGAGTTATCAAACTGGTTTCGATGCCACACATATTCGTTGCATTGTTATTTGCAATGAAAAACACCTCGTCGTTGGCGAAACCACAATTTGAGCTTTGTTCGATATCTATCAGGGAAAGAGACGCACAAACTGCGACACAGAGAGAGAGAGAAACAGAGGAGTAGAAGTAATACGTAACGGTCTGCTGATCATTCTGACCAACTATTGAGCCTCTGCCCGATTAAGTCATCATCATTGTAGTTCAATTGAAAACTGATCGAGCTGAAAGCAATAAGCAAACTTTTTTTTTGAGAACCTCTGCATGGAATTGTAAATTTGGCCATTGGGATCTACAATTCTTGGGTATAAAACAGTATTATCCAGTAAGTCTCGATAATCCTTGCATCGATTGTTGTTATCATCGATGGTGTCAGTTATCGATTTATCGAGTATACAGAATAGAATGATGTTAGTTAATGTTAGTAAACGACAGGCGGAAGAAAGCATTTCTCATAAATTAAATAATTTGACTGGCCAGAAACAAGAGCACATTCAATCCAGCCAATGCAAACAATAATTTTTAGAAAAATGCTTGCTGAATTCGAAATTCAATGAAATTAGTAGCTCAGCTTTTATTTTACACTTTAGCTGAATGTTTTGAGTACATGAATAATTTATAAAAACAATGTAAAATGCTTGTGAAGTCTACAAATACTAATGTTTAATAATAATAAAAGTGTAACAACAAATCATATAAAACAAAACCTTGAAATTTAGAAAGCTACAACTAAAAATGACGCAAATCTACTTTCTGAATAATATGGTGATTATTGGCAATTTACTAAAATTTGGGCCGACTTTTGATTAATGTACATGCATGTATAGATATATGTATAGAAGTATGTATGTATGTAGTATATGCATTTTATTGCTCTACTCTGAATAGTTGACTGCCTGACAGCGAGGATGATGCTGGGATGGGTGACAGGGTGGCAGATAGATAGATAGATAGATATGGGGCACAAAGTCGTGTACATACATACATGTGTATATATTTATGTGTATGTGGTTGCCAGGATTTGTGGCGTGTGCAACAGGCTTCGGTTGGGCTACGGCGGGAGGGCGGGGTCGATGCTTATACGGTTGACAGGCTGGATAACAAGGGGCTGACCTGACCGGGCGTTAGGTGGCTGCTGCCATGGGAGCGCTTAGCTAGTGCTCAAGGTCAACCTCCATACGAGTCCATTTTGTACAACAGCTGAGAGAGCCCGTTCTTAAAGCAGGCCATCAGGCCAACAGGCCAAAACAGTCAACAGGCCAAACAGCCAACAAACAACTTGCAACCTGTTGAAGAAAGTTTTAAGAGCAATAAAAGCAACTGTGGAGTGACACGTCACGGCGAAAGCCAAAAGAGAAAGCTAAGCCACATGAAAATCCTTTATATTTTCGGTTTTCGGTTTTCTGTTTTCTTTTCTTGTTATGCGAACAGCGGCATCGACTGCGGCTGAGGCAGCAGCATCGAGCATCGGGCTGCGACGGCGACTGCGACTGCGACTACAACTGGCCCTTATCTCGAAAGGAGCAAACACACAGACACACACACATATACAGGCGTATAAACATGTGTAGACATGTAGTCGCATGCATAGCAACAAACATAGACATGCTTAGTCTAGTCAGTCATATATATATAAAGACATCGCCTCTGGTCAGCAACAGCAAAAGCAGCGGCAGCAGCAGCAGTAGCAGCAGCAACTCAGCTTACAGGTGGTTTGTGTGAGCAAGTGGCGTGTGACGTCACAATCACAGTCACACAGTCCCAGTCACTGTCAGAGTGAGAGTGAGCAGTGTGAGAAGTGTGATGAAGTGGGTCGCAAGCATTTGTCACTAATTACGCTCGCAGACCAATTAGTTAGTCGAGTTAGTCATGCGAGCAGAGCTAATGCAAACGAAGCAAAGATCGATTATTTTGTTTGGCCAGGAACGGAACGAAACGAAACGAAATGGAATGGAACACAACGGAACGATTGGGCAAGTGGGGTAATGGAACTAAACCTGTAGTCGCATTTCGCCTGCTCGTCGGTCTCATTATAATCTTTGTACCTGTCTCTGTACCTGTCCCTGTCCCTGTCGCTATCGCTGCTTTAAGCTGCTGCTCCATTTGCGCGTATCCTTTGTATCCTTGAAATTTTTGCACTATTTTTTTTTTTTGGTGTAGAAATTTATTTGTTGCCACATTTCAACATGCCTTTTTGGTACGATTTCTGGGCCGCTGTTGTTGTAATTTCTTCCTCTTATTTTTTTTTGTTGCCGTTGATGTGGTAGCAGCGAAAAACTGGCCGAGAAAAAGAAAAATTGGCATTGAAGCTGCGCGCTGACAGTGACGTTGACGTCAGCGTCGACGTCGACGTTGACGTCGACATTGGATTTGGCGTTGCCGTTGCCAATGAGCAAAAGGAGCTGGTGGAAAAACGAAGGCGATGGAACGAAAACGAAAGTTTTGTCTACCCACATGAGGACACGGCGGTATGTAAGCGTACACACACACACACACACGTTTACACACTACTAGCATAAGGAAGCTGCGCTGCTGAGGTCGACGTCGACGTCGGCATCGACGTCAGCGCCAAAGTGCGCACGTTTCTTTCATTTCGTCTCGTTTTCTTCTCCATTTTTGTATTGCCCTTGTGAGTTTTTCTTTTTTCTTTTTCTTTTTTTTTGTTGGTTTTTTCCATTTTTCTTCTTTTTTTTTGCTGCTGGTTGCTGGTTACCGAAGCTGCCCCGCGTCTGCAGCAGCTACTGTTATTTTAGTCGTTTTTATGCGTCGGATTTTCCCATTTTCCTACTGCGGCCCCCACAACTCCAGCTGAACAAGTTTCCCTTCGGATTTCGCAGCATCTTACTGCGGTGCAAAGAGAACTTGTTGGGACTCCCACTCGGCGTATTCTCTTCGCATTTGGCGCTCTTAATGTAGTTTTAAGAGTGCTTTAGTTTGGGCCACACAGTCTTGGACTTCAGCTTTGGCATAAACTGATTTATATCTACTTTGATGGCTCCCCCATCCCCAATTCCCCAGCCACCCACGTTGCTGATTTGGTTTAGTTTGTTTTGGGTGTGCTTTGGTTGGCTGTGCAGTGAAGAGAACTACAATTCGCTTATGGATGGGCCCGGGACCAAGACGCTCGTAAGTGCGTAAGCTTAAAGCGACACTTGAGCTTTTGTGCAAACGATTCGAAGCTTTGCAAACGGGTGCGAAACTTTATCGCAAACTTGATCGTCAACCGATTTTAGCCGAGTCGCAAACCAGTCTACCGTTTCATGATAAATCTGTGTCTACTGCAGGCAATCAATCATCTGCTGAGGTGCACTTAAAACATACTTAAGACACCAAACTGTAGAAGATATCGAATATGCAATGATATTGCTGAGAAGCACTTGTAAGACGAGATATGCGTTGTATGTCTACACACTTTCATAGATATTTTCAAGCGGTCTTTATTTGTAGAGAAATCCACATTTCTTATTACGTATATATGTATGTTAGTTTGAACGATGCAATATTCCGTATCATATATATCATATTTCACATATTAATTGAATGCATTTTTAAATTGCATATATCGTTGCAGATTTTATGGCTCACCATTTCAAAGCGGACACAAAAAGAATAGGTGAGCAACGGCTAAACATTCCAATTGTCGAAATTTTTGACACAAATTCAGCAGCTACAAGCAAAGTGAAAAACAAAAGAAAAGGGGGAAAAAAAGGAAAAAACCAAACAGAAGTGGATATAATACCCACTGACGACAAGCGAATCCGATGGTGCCCAAAGGGCCCCCCTCCCTCCCGGCCCCCGTCGCCAGGGGACAACAAAAGAAAAGAGGAAAACGTGCGGAAACTGTTGCCAAAAAGGAGCAGGCCAAATTTTGCAGTCAACACAAAAAGTTACACTACAAAACGAAAGAAAACTGAACGTCCTTCACAGTGTGTTGTGGATGTGGATGTGGATATGTTCGAGGATGGAGAGGAGGAGACGGGGACGAAGACGGGGACGGGAGCGTAGGTGGCTTATGGAAGTGTGCGTGCTGGCCAGGAGCTTGGCGCCACCTGTTGACAGCAGCATGCGATGCGACTGGGCCTTGGCCTAGGAATGAGGTTGGGACTGGGACTGGGACTGGGACTGGGACGGGGACTGGGACTGGGACGGGCACTGGGACGGAGACTGGGACTGAAGCTGGGATGCAGTTGCACACAAAAGAAAGGAGCTGTAGCGTGCTGTTGTGGGTCTGCCTGTCAGCAACAAGACCAAGACCAAAGTATTGTTCTCCACAGCCGGATAAGCGCAGCAACCGGCACTTGCCCCCCACAAATACACCCCAGTTTCCAAACTCGACACCAGATTGCTTTACACACACACACTCACACACACTAACACTCACAGAGTGGAGATGCAAGTATCAGGAGCACAGCAATGCCAACAATGAGAATTCGGAAAACAGCAGAATGGCAACATTTGACTTTTAAGGACACAGCTGGTTTGCCAGAGAGGTAAGTGAAGAGCGTAAAGAGGAAAATGGAGAGTGGAAATGGGCTAAACTCGCTGCAGGTGAGATGCACCAAAAGCCAATGAACGACTAGAATCAAAATAATGTTCAGTAAATTAAATATGGAGAATTCAGCTCATTGTCCGTCTGTCTATAATATTCCGATTACGTATATAACCCTGATACTCTCGAGAGCATAATTATAAATTAAAATTGGGAAATGGAAATTGGTAAAAGGGACATTTTCAAGTTGTGGAAGAAACATTTTCTTGACCAAAAAAATGTTTATGAAAACTCATCTAAAACTTTAAATAGCCAGGCTCAAACATTCTAAATATATTAGCTGCTTTCGTTTTTTTTATTTGTTACTCTTCAATATCTATGCCGACCATAAGAATTGAGAGCACTTCCCCGTCTGCCCTCATTTAAGTCTGCAATGCTTTCGAAAGGGAAATTTGACAATAAAACTAGAAACTCTAGAATATATTTTGCCATTGTCTAATTCCTTAAATAATTCTACGTTCACATTGGGAACCGCTAATTTTGTTCAGCCAGAATCGGAAATTACGAATAATCCAAGCAATGCAGCAATGTTTAATTTGTCTTTATTTTATCTCTAATATCATATTACTTTTAAATATGCAAACATTAGGTTTGATCCACATCCAAATCGATCAAAGGCAATGGAATTTGGAACTAGTTTTGTTAAAACTGAACCGTTTTTCGAAAGTAATGTTTGTCATGTCATGTTTTGAACTTTAAAAGAAAAACTGCATTTCAAGCGAGAAACACTTTTACTGCTTTTCACAGGACGAAACGACTTGTGTTATTGTTAGTTGCTTTATTATTATGTATATTCCATCTGAATTTTGAGCGCACTTTCCTAATTAGAGTCGAGTTACACGGGACAGAGAATCACCTGTGGAACGGCAGCGTTTGAATTAGTGAGCGAGCACTATATAAGCATAATGATAATCAGATAAATGAATAGGATAAGCTTGATGCTTGGGGCATATGGCAACCATGCTCTGTAATTTGCCCTGGAAATGCGCATAACGAGCCCATTCCAGCATCCACAGCCACATCCACATCGACATTCGCATTCGCATTCACATCGAGCTGCTCAAATATGCATTGAGATTCAGAGTCGTTGTGAGTGGCACTCACATTTGGATGCGGCTATATTCGTACGCGCTTATGCGTTGTTCACATACGCGATTTACAGTTATGTGCGCCACAAATCGGCATCAAAAGCGCTTAGCTGCCATCTGAGCGCCACTCGCCATCTGGCCGTGGCTGTGGCATGAATGTGTTGCCGTGGATGTGCCATTGATATGGCTATGGCCATGGCTATGGCTATGGCTATGGCTATGGCTATGGATCTGGATCTGGATCTGCATGCAGCATCTGTACAAATCTCCAGTTGGCCATGAATTATTCAACAGTTGGCATACGCATACGCATACCTCTATATATATATATATATATATATATCTATATATACCTCTATACCTCAATACTCACACTCAAACACACACTTACATTCACTCTACAATACAATACAGTTCATGTTCATGTTCATGTTGATGTTGATGTTGATGTTTGTGTGTGTTTGTGTCTGAAACTATGGCATACAATTTGCAACTTTCGTGTTGCGGGGCAAACGTTACTCGAAATTGACTACGCAACGCACTCCAACGCCCCCTCTCCCCCTACACACACATTCACTCCTGTTCCCCTCCCCCTTCTTAACCTACCCCCCCGCAATTGTCGTGGCCCACGCGCAGCTATCACGTGTGCGTTGTTGGCGTTGTTTGCCAAATCCTTTTTATGTTCACATTATGTAGTTCGCACGCATTTGCTATCTATGGTCGTTGGTGGGGAAAGGGGCGAAAGGGGGTAGGGATGGGGCACATTTGCTCACATTTGGCGCATGAGGCAAGCGTCATTCAATTCCATTTCCGTTAGCTGAACTGAACTGAACTGAGCTGAACTGAGCCGAGAGCTGAACTGCGAGCTGAGAGCTACGAGCTACGAGCTACGAGCTGAGTGCTGTTGAGCCGAACGTCATTCCGTGCGCCATATAACCCAAGTTCAATTACCTGTTACAGCCGTTAGATGAATTTCTACGGCCAGCACATGCTTCGACTAGTTGAGCACTGTGGGGCAACATGCCCGCCTCTCCCTCACTCTGCTCTGTCTCACTCCTAGCAGCGGGCGCGAGCATAGCAAGTGCTGCTCTGTTATTGCCATGTGAGTGTGAGTATGAGTGTGTGTGTGTGTGGCTTTTTTGAATATTTGAAATGTTTTTGTTCGCGCCACGCCAAAAGTGGAAGAAGAGAGGAGTGGCAAGAGCAAGAGCAAGAGCAAGAGCAAGAAGAAGAATAACGACACACTTTGGCACGCATTTGTGATAAACATAAATGAGCTTAGAAATGAACCCCGGAGGATAAGGCCGTCGTACGCACAACACTCACACACACACACATGCCAAGACATACACACACACATGCCAAGACATATCCATGCATAGTGCAAAAGAAAAGAGGTGGTGGAGTGGGTGGGGGTTGGGGGGGGGGGGTGCTGTGTGGTAAGGGGACAACAGGCCAATACTACAGTAGGTATCAAGTATCAGGCCAACACAACATTATACAAATGATATGACATTAGATAAGCCTAAGTGCAAATTGGCTTACAAACCGGGATTTGTCTGCGCCACAATGCTTGGCGCCTTTTGTTCTGCCTTTATTTAGGCTTGCTTTTTTTGCTTTATTCTGTTTTTTTCTTATTTTTTTTTTGGTTTCGTTGGGGGCACCCATCGAGCGATGAACATGAACACAACGTGAACAACATCGACAACATCGACAGCTTCAGAGCCAGCTTGCATCTCTTTTGCATGTTGCTCCACATGCTTATCACAACATTCGTGGGGGGGACTGTGTGTTGCATGTTTGATTATGTATACGCCGCGTTGTCTACAAAAGCCAAAACATCCCGAGTTCGTTATGTGTTAAATATATTATAGTGACTAGCTCGATGTGTGTCAAACTCTCCATCTCTCTTTCTCTTCCTGTTCTCTGTCATTCTAGCTCTCTCTCTCTCTGTCCTAGTTACCTTTCCCTCGCTGTGTCCCCCTACTTGCTCTCGCAAAGGCTAAGCCGTTCGATGAGCCGCGTAAACAAAAATCCTGCGAATCTCCTGCAGATTGAGTTGGCATTACTATTACTCTGATATAATCTAAGCGTTGTCATCCTGACTGGAATCCAAGCAAACAACAACAACAACAATAACAACAACAACAAGAATACCAGCCTGTTGAGCATTAGCCTCGTAACGGCAGTTTATTGGCCACATTGCTTTTAACAATGTTTTAAGGCCAGGCTGTCAAACCGAAACGAGTTTTAGGTAACAATTCCGATTCTGATACGTAAAACATACAATATAAAATTGTGGTCAAGATTTCGGTATTCTTTCAAACTTTTTTACGCTGTTCACATTTGATTTTTGGCTAAGAAAATGCTCGGAGTATGTTATAATCCTGATTCCGATTCCAAATCCGGTTTCAGCTCCTGATTGATGATGATTGATGATTAACTGATGACATACGAAGATTGAAAAACGGTGGAGTTGAAAAATACTTGGGCATAACCAGAATTGAAGTGCCCAACAAAATCTGGACAAACGATTTGAGCTTGACAAGCAGCTTTAACTTATGCTAAATGATTATTATTTTTATTATTATTAATGGGCTGATCTGTACTGCGTACTGCGGCACCTAAAATGTAATAATTGGTGGCATTCACAAATTATTATTGCAAGTACAGATAAAAACAAGATACAAGGGTCAAAATGCGGGAGTGCATCAATTTTCAAGCCAAACAACAACCACAACAACCACAACAACCAGAACAACAACAACAACCAATAACAATAACAAAAATGTGGAAGGTCTCAAGCTGTGTGTGTCACATAGTCAGTTGACAATGTGTCTGCAATTTGCATGCCACAGACAGCTGCCACCTGTTTGGGGCAAGTTCAGTTCATATCTTTTGCTCCAATTGCACACAGCTTGCTTCTTTTTAGCCATTTTGCATTTGCGTCATCTTTTTGGCGCCCTAGAGAGTTGT